ATCTCTTGAGAAATGTCAGAGATGTCCATGCAGGGTCACTCCAGCCAGGACCATCCCCCCTGCTCTTTCCCACTTAGAAGGAGCAGGAAAATCACTGGACTCAGAGGATGATGATGTCATGAGTCTCCTGACATTAAAACCCTGGGATCCATCCTCCCCCATCCCCACCCTCACCGGGCACGGGGACCCTTGTGACTTCCTTCTATCCCTCTATATCTTCTCCCTCTGCAGGCCCAGTCTGGGGCCCGAGCCCTGCCTTCTCCCGTGGAGTCCACTGAGCAGCTGTCCCTGGATTCCCGGAGCCCTTAGTCTTGTCGTCATTCCTTTTAGCATTGAGTTCCTCACCTTGGGTTTTTTCTCAAGCACCACTGGCAAAACTGCGTTCTAGAGAGTAAGAAATGCCTGGGACAGTCTTGTTATGAGAAGCATGCTTCTGTAGGCAAAAGTGACCCTTTTCAAATGGAGCATTCTCATTGTTTTGTGGGGATAAATATTAAGAGCTCAATTGCAGGCTAATGGATTTCTATGATGATACAAAGCATTTCACATGGGGTTTATGATCCAAACGGTTCCTCAAGCCATAATTTACCTGATTTTACATTTACATTTGCTTAAGCAAGAATCCTGTTTTCTTGCAAAGGCCCTCGGGAGCCATCAGACGCCTATTTCACCCAGGAGGTTTGGCAGGGAATCGGGTGGGGATTCTTCATGGGATCCGCTGACTTGATCTTTCCCGCCTTGCAATGCACAACCTACTGTGTTCTCCTAGGAATAGAGCCACGTCCCTGTCCCGATCCTCAGCCGTTGAAGAAGCCCCTTTGTCATTTTCCATAGTGCGTGTGGCCCCACCACACAGAAGCCGTGGCTGGCAGAGGTGGTGATGGGAGGCAGACTTTCCATATTCTTGGCAACATTATCTGCAGTGTAACTTTAGACTTCAGTTGAGAAGTCTGGAGAGAAATTTCGCCGAGTGCATGGAGGATGCTTTTTTCCCTGATTTCTACCAGAACTGGCTGGGCGGTGGCTGCAGGGTTACTGGGAAATTTCAAAGTGGGGTGGAGCCACAGGACTCCAGTGCAGGGGTCTGCTGGTGTTCCTGGTCCAGGCCTTGCTGACACTGGGGGGCGCTGGAAGGGCCTGTGCAGATGGGAAGAAGCTCCCACTGAAGCCGACATGGGTCCTTGCAAGGAAAATCTGGGAAGGGGGAGTGGCGACCCTGGCATGACCTCAAAGACAGGTGCTGGCAATGAATGAATATTGCTGAGGGGGATAAGGCCATCTGAAAAAGTTGCCTACTCCATGACTCCAGGCCTATACAATTCTGGGAGAGAAAACTCTAGAGACAGTGAACAGGACAGTTGTTGCCAGGGGCTTCTGGCAATGGGGAGAGAGATTGGCAGGGGAAACATTGGGCATGCAGCTAGTTCGTATGAGTGGTGAATGGCATTCGGAGTTTGTCACAACCCATAGAGGGCACAACACAGTGAACCTCCACGCAAACTCCTGACTTCAGTTCGTAAGAATGTATCGATATTGGTCATTGTTACTGTGGGGGGGGGGGGTGCATGGCAGCATATTCAAGCTTATGTACACGGCATTTGAGGTCAGGGCATGGAAAAGTACTGAAGTGCTGTGTGTTACTTATTTGTGCACGAGAATGAAACTCCTTGACCCTGAAAACAGGACAGGGAGCGGAGTGATAGGGAAGGCTGAAAACAGCCTCCTGAGAATGCGGTTCCAGTGCTTTTCCAAGGCCACAGGTGTCTCACGACCAGACCTCAAAAAAGCCATCCAGTGGATGTTTGTGGTTTAACAAGCCTTTTCAATAACTACGTGGGGGGTGGATTCTGGTTGCAGGGGACTCTCTTAGAAGAGCTGCCCTCCGACCCCGCTCAGCTGGAATTGTCTGAGAACTCATTCTTGGCATTCACTGCAAGCTGTAAGCTCTGGAGTTACAAATGGACCACATCACTGGAAAACTGGGTTAAGAAAAGTGTGGACAAAGGATCTGAGACATTTCTGTGATGTCTGTTCCATGTTTATGTTAATTTCAAACCGTTCTACACAATGACTATTTTAGTCAAGGTTGGCAACACTGTTTCAGGAAGAGGCTCATCTGAGCGGATGTTTAATAGGAGGCTAAATGTGTCAATAGAAGATTCAGATGTTGCTTTCCAGTAAAAGGGAATCAATCTTTAAACTGTGAACACATCTTTACTTCTCCAGTTGCAGGAATAGCAATGACTTCATTTTAAATGTGTGTAGATGAACTGCAAGAAGACTAAGGCTTAACAGTGTGAGAGTTCTGTCTTCAATACAGGACACTGAACCCCCTAGAATCTTGATGATTGAATGAACTTTACTGACTTTCCACAGTACTTCAATGGATGGTTTTCTGGGATGAACTCAATTGTCTGGCCAGTTGTGGGTTTTTCTGACCCACTGCGTGGGACCAGCAACAGATGGTGCTGATTCCTTGGTAACCACAGTCAGATCTTAGAGGCAACAGCCCCCCAAATGTGTGACGATAAAGGCAGCTGTTGACATCTTGTTGGCAGGATTTATGAGAAATTCATGCGAATCGATTCACACTTCAACCTTTTGATTCCCTTGGGATCTTGAGAGATGTGGCTGAGCCCAGAGAAGAGCTCATCTCAGATGATGTTTCACACTCACCTGAGTATGTAACAATTAGATCGAGATGTTGCTTTCTATGAACAGTGTCACAAATTTACATAGTATATGTGTCTTTCTTTTCTAGTCGTAAGACTAGCGATTGACTTAATAATTTAGATTTTTCACAGATGAACTCAAAGAAGACCACAGCATAACAGTGTTAGAGTTCTGTCTTAAATATGGGACACCGAACCAACCAGAATCAGGATGACTGAAGGAGCTGAACTGATTTTCCACAGTATCTTCAACTGATGGTTCTTCCCGCTGCACAGAACGGTGTGGCCAGTTGTGGATTTTTCTGACCCACGGCATGCGGCCAGCAATAAAGTATGCCGACTCCTCAGGACACTCTCCTATCCTGGAGTCAACATTCTCTCAAATTATTACAAGACAGACATCTTGCTGGGAAAGTATCATAGAGAAACTTAGAGTAATTGATCCACAGTTCAAACTTGTGTCCTCCTTTTTTGCTATCTGCACAGGAATCCAACTGAATCTGAGTCCAGCTCTGGGAACCCCCACAGTGTGTGTTGCACTTAGTACTCAGCAGACTGTGTAGGCAAATACCTGCCTTCAGAGATGATATAGAGAGGCAGCAGGTACCAGTGAGCAAGAGCAGAGTGCGTAGAGCCTCACTGACTGGGTTTCAATCCTGCTGAGGAGCCGTCTACTGGGAGTGCTGTATAGACCGGTCTGTGCCTCAGTTCCCTATTCTGAGATGTTCAAATATTGATATGGTGTCTGTTTGTCTTATAAGGCTAAACGTGACTGAATTCAGGTGAAGCCTTGAGGAGACTGGTGCTTCCTAAGTGCCCTAACGTGTTCAGTCATGAACTGCTTGGAAGAACAAGCCAGACTCTCGGTAGTGGTTGGATACAGACAGGGAACCTGCAAGCCTGTAGGAAAGTGAAATGCAGAAGCTCACTTCATTCTTCACATGTATTGATCCTTTTCCTCTCACAAAACACATCTGAACTGCGCACCCGTGACTCACACCTACATCATCTTGGAAGATGTGGTTGATCCCAGAGAGAACCTCAAATCCTAACACAGCCTCCTTCCTCCAGGTTTTCATCCTTCACCCAAAATATGGCAGTTTCCTCCACCCCAAGCTTGTGTGCAGGACAAGTCCAATGGTGTGACCTCCTCCCCCAGCATCTTAACACTGCCGGCTGCCTTGTGGTGAGCATAACCGGCCAGTTGGCTCCTCCAAGTGCCCAGTGGTCAGCTTGCCTCCCAAGGTGCCACAGGACTCAGGACATTCCAACCAATTGCCACATGATGGCTGTGCCAGGAATGAACTTCCCTTCCACTGAATGCATGGGACAGTGACCCCCACTGTCTGTCTATAATTCCGATAGCAATGTGATCAGGGTGAACTCAGGCCTGCCTAAGGGGCAGTGACTGCACCTGCAGAGTGGGCACCTTCCTGCTCACATCCCCCTCACCAGGACTCAGTTTCCACAAACTCCTCATGCCTCCCTAGGACGTGCAGGGTGGGGGACAGTCCCTCTCTAAATTCTGGAGGGAAAAGCCATTATTTGCATGTTTCAAGCTCATAGTTTTACAGTTCTGTCAACCTTAGGGAGAATTCGTCCTCATCCATTCCCTCCATCTGTAGGGGAAGCATTCTAATCAATTGGACTTTGGTTCTACGTTTGTGGGTCAGGAGTTGTGGTTATGGGCTGCAGTACCATGTTCAGCCAGGATTGGGACTCATAGTATACCTGTGTCTCAGGTGATTGTAGGAAGAGTGCTAAAACGGATGACCCCAGTTGGAACCACAATTGGTATTTAGAAGCAGACGTTCTCTAATTGCAAGGAGAGAGGAGGAAGTGCTGTTATCCGAGGACACAAATGTGGGCAGCCCCAAAACAATGCATATCCAGACAGGTCCTCTAAGAGGGAACTGCCTGGCCACAGCATTCCCATTTCCCATCTTGGAGGACTCTATGGATAAGTCCCTCAAATTGCCAACTGCTAATGTGAACTCTTCCACTCACAGGGTGACAGATGGAACAAAAGGCAACATGCTAATCGGCGCATGGCCTTGGTGACAGGTCACCCAGGGATGATGAAACACACAACACAGCCTGGCTCTGGGTTCCGACTGTTCCGATCCACACATGTGTATTGCTACAGGTACAAGGGTGTGGTTTCTAGCACCTGTTTTGTTTCAAAACAGGATCATTCCCTCCACACTATTATTTTCTATTTATAAAAACAAGTTACAGGAGAAAAAGGACCTGCCCCGTCCTATATAGTTGACAGTGTGGACACACAAAGCGAACATTTGAGAATAAAAAGTTCCTTCTATTTGTTATTGTGACATGGGTAACGTGCTGTTGTAAAAAAAATTTGGAGGCAGCACATCTCACACGTGTCCGTGAAAATTCAATCATCATGCTGGTGAACTACAGAAGGATCTGCCTTTGCATTCTTCATTAGAAAAGCCATGCTTCTGTATCTCTGCTATTACTGAGTCACCAGACATTTGTAGGTGTGCTACTTTAACAATTTCTTAAGATTGAATAAAAAACACATGGTGGAAATTCACTTTAAGAAATTCAGGCCGGGCACGGTGGCTCACGCCTGTAATCCCAGCACTTTGGGAGACCGATGCGGGCGGATCATGAGGTCAGGAGATCGAGACCATCCTGGCTAACACGGTGAAACCCCATTTCTACTAATAAAACAAAAAATTAGCCGGGCGTAGTGGCGGGCGCCTGTAGTCCCAGTTGCTCAGGACACTGAGGCAGGAGAATGGCGTGAACCCGGGAGGCGGAGTTGCAGTGGGCTGAGATCGCGCCACTGCGCTCCAGCCTGGGCGACAGAGCGAGACTCTGCCTCAAAAAAAAAAAAAAAAAAAAAAAAAATTCAGTGTCCCCCACTAAGAAACATTGTGAAACTATACAAATGGTTCTCTTATCACCCATGTATATTACCTTTTGTCTGCATGCTTCTACGTCTATGTACTTAGTTGAGTCTCAGTCTCTGTGAGTTCATCGAGCAATTTCACATGGATGCAGAGAGTGAGATGATTGATAATGGAGACTCTGAAGGGTGAGGGGGTGGGAGGGAAGGGATGATGGGAAATTGGTTAATAAATTCAATGTTTATTACTCCGGTGATGGATACCCTAAATGTCCTGACTTGACCACTGCACATATCTATGAGTGTATCCAAATTCCACATGTATTCCATAAATTTGTACAAAAAATAATAAATCACATTTTATTGATGATAAATACTGTTTATAAATTATATCATTTGTAATAAAATATTTTATAACAACGCATTTTATGTAAAATAAATTCTTTATAAATTATCATTTGTTTATTTGTATAAGTAAATGGCACTCACACAACGTCCATCTTGGGAGGATGATGGACCCTGGCTCCAGGAATATTTCCTCTGAGTCCTGCATTCCCCTCTTGGACCCAAAGCGAGTGGATCCCAGTCTGGAGGAGGAAGAGCTGGTGGACAACCCTGGAGTTCTGTGACCAGTAGAACCCTCGACAGGGTCCCGGGAGGCCGCAGAGTTGAGGTTTCCTCTCTTTGTGCCCAAAGAGAAGCAGATTGCTAGCATTAGAGCCTGGCCTGGACTTGTGCCTAGGGTTTGCCTTGCTTTTGGTGGCCCTGGGCCCCCAAGTTAGAATTACAGGTCTCTGCTTGGGTGACTCTCTAGGAATGTGACTCAAAGGAGGGACAACAGTGCCTCCAAAGAGACAATTGGTCCTGGTCCCTGGGTCACCATGGGGTCCTCCGTCTAGAGGAGCCCCACCTGTTCAGGCGGAAGCTTCCCCCATAGGATGTGTGGTGCTCAGACCTCTCTCCTTCCGGCTGAGCTGCTGACTGACACAAAGTTGGAACTCAGATCTGGGGTCACCAGTCTGCTCCCAGAGCCCATGGGTGCCGCTAAAACTGCCAACCTCAAGGAACTGGGCTTGTGCTGCCCAACGTGGAGCAGGGCTGCTCAGTGTGGGGCCGAACACTGTTCCCAATGCTGGGGGCGTAAGAAGCAGCTACAGAGCCAGAGGCAGTGGGGGAACCAGGGTGATGAAGGAGGGACAACAAAGAACATCTGGGTGCTTGCTAGTGGGGGTGACCAAGATGGAATTTGTAGATGATGAACCTCCAAAGCTGAGTGTGTTTTGGGCTGCCCTGGCAGGTGGGCCCTGGAGCAGAGGTTAGGGCTAGAGCTGGAGCTGGGCTACCAGATCTCCAAACTGGAAACAGCAGTCAGAGGTGGGGGCTGCATGCTGCTGTCCATCAAGGACTCCCAGGACAGGCTGAATGGTGCCTGAAGGGTTCCTGGGAAGTTTTATGATTGGGGTGGAGCTGCAAGACCTCAGTGCAGAAGGCTCGTGGTGTCCCTGGTGGAGGCCTTGCTGTCACTGGGGTACGTCTGAAGGGCCTGCGCAGATGGGGAGAAGCTCACACTGGGGCCAACATAAGGCCTTGCAAGGAAAGGCTGGGAAAGGGGAGTGGTGTCCATGGGGGTGACCTCAAAGTCAGGGGCTGGCAGTCAATGTATATTGCTCAGTGAGATAAGTCAGTCTGAAAAAGCTGCCTTCTCCACGACTCTTAGTGCATAATATTCTGAGAAAGAAAACTAGAGAGACAGTAAATAGGACAGTTTTCTCTTAAAAATGGGACACTGATCCAACCAGAATCATGATAACTGAATGAACTCCACTGACTTTCCACAGTACTTTCCATTGATTGCTTATCTGGATGAACTCGGTTGTGTGGCCAGTTGTGGACTTTTCTGACCCACTGCGTTGGTCCAGCAATAGAATAGACTGTGCTGACGTTTCAGGTACTACTCTCTGATCTTGGATGGAACATTGCTTCCAAATGTATTACAGGAGAGACAACTATTGATATCTTGCTGCCAGAATTCCATAGAGAAATTCTTAGTAATTTAGTTAGAGTTCAAACTTTGGAGCCCCTGTTGAAACAACTCCACAGGAAGCCACCTGAATCTGAGTTGGGCTCTAGGAAGAGCTTGCAGTTCGGGTTGCACTGAAAACCCAGCAGACTGATGTCTGGGAAAATACCTGCCTTTATATGAGGCTTTAGAGAGAGGCAGCATATCCTAAGTGAGCAACAGCACAGCGCCTGGAGCCTCACTAGCTGGGTTCAAATCCCACTGAGGAGCTCTACGTACCTGGCCATGTTGTATAGACCTCTCTATGCCTCAGTGCCTGGTTTTCAGAGGTTCAAAAGTTAATATGGTCTCTGTTATGCTTTAAGGCTAAACATGGTTGAATTCAGGTAAAGTCTTAAATAGACTAGTTCCTTCTAAGTGCACTGAAGTATCCACTCATTAAATGTTCCAAAGAACAAGCCAGACTCTTGGTAGTGGTTGAATGCAGACGAAGAGCTGGCATGGCTTTAGGGAAGTGAAAGACAGAGACTCACTTCGTTCTTTACCTGGGGTGATCCTTTCCCTCTCATGGAACATATCTGGGCTGGGTGCACGTGATTCATACCTGTAACATTTTGGAAGATGTGGTTGATCCCAGAGGACCTCACATCTAACACAGTCTCCTTCAGGTTTCCACACCTGACCCAAAATATGACAGTTTCCTCCAAACCAAGCCTCTGTAAAGGATAAGTTCAATGGTGTGCCCTCCTCCACCAGTATCTTCGCACTGGCAAGGGGCTCGTGGTGAGCCTCCATGGCCTGTTGACTACTCCAAGTGCCCAGGGGTCAGCTTCGCTCCCAAGCTCCCTTGGTTCCCTTCCACTGACCAGGCCTGGATGAGCAAGAATGGGAATTATCTAGGGATGTGGGCCTCTGAGTAGTTGCTTCAGTGCAAGAATGAGTGAAGACAGTGACCCCCACTGTCTCACTGACCGTAATTCCAATAGCAATGAGATCAGGGTGAACTTAGTCACTGCCTAAGAAGGGCAGTGAATGCACCTGCACAGAGTGAGCACCTTCCTGCTCATATCCTTCCTCACCAGGACTCAGTTTCTACAAACTCCTCATGCCTCCTAGGCCCTGCAGGGGTGGAGGAAACTTCCTCTCCAAATTCTGGAGGGAAAAGCCATCATTTGCATGTTTCAAGCTCATAGTTTTACAGTTCTGTCATCCTTAAGGAGAATTCGTCCTCATCCATTCTCTCCATCTGTAGGGGAAGCATTCTAATCAACTGGACTTTGGTTCTATGTTTGTAGGTCAGGAGTTGTGGTCATGGGCTGCAGTACCATGTTTGGCCAGGATTGGGACTCATACATAGTGTGTCCGAAATTGCTGGGTTCTTGGTCTCGCTGACTTCAAGAATGAAGTCCCAGACCCTCGCGGTAAGTGTTACAGTTTTTAAAGATGGTGTGTCTAGAGTTTGTTCCTTCTGATGTTCGGACGTGTTCGGAGTTTCTTCCTTCTGGTGGGTCCGTGGTCTCGCTGGTTTCAGGAGTGAAGCCGCAGACCTTCACGGTGAGTGTTACAGCTGTTAAGGCAGCGTGTCTGGAGCTGTTCATTCCTCCCGGTGGGTTCATGGTCTTTGCTGGCCTCAGGAGTGAAGCTGCAGACTTTTGAGGTGTTACAGCTCATAAAAGCAGCATGGACCCAAAGACTTAGCAGCAGCAAGATTTATTGCAAAGAGCGGAAGAACAAAACTTCCACAGAATGGAAGGGGACGGAAGCAGGTTGCTGGTGGCTGGCTCAGGCAGCCTGCTTTTATTCCCTTATCTGGCCCCACCCACATCCTGCTGATTGGTCCATTTTACAGAGAACTGATTGGTTTGTTTTACAAACCTTGAGCTAGACACAGGGTGCTGATTGGTGTATTTGCAATCCCCTAGCTAGACACAGAGTGCTGATTGGTGCATTTACAATCCTTTAGCTGGACACAGAGTGTTAGAAAAGTTCTCCAAGTCCCCACTAGGTTAGCTAGATACAGAGTACTGATTGGTATATTTACAAATCTTGAGCTAGACACAGAGTACTGATTGGTGTATTTACAATCCCTTAGCTAGACATAAAGGTTTTCCAAGTGCCCACTAGACCCAGGAACCCAGTTGGCTTCACCTAGTGGATCTTGCACCAGGGCCGCAGGCGGAGCTGCCCACCAGTCCCTGGCCATACACCCCCCACTCCTCAGCCCTTAGGCGGTTGATGGGACTGGGCGACGCGGAGCAGGGGGTGGCGCTCATCCAGGAGGTTCAGGCCTCCCGGGAGCCCACGGTGGGGGGAGGGGCGGGGGTTCGGCCAGGGCGGGTTTGAGGTCCGGAGCCCTGCCCCGCGGGGAGGCATCTGAGGCCCAGCGAGAATTCGAGTGCAGCACCAGCAGGCCGGCACTGCTGGGAAACCCGGCGGACCCTCTGCAGCTGCTGGCCCAGGTGCTAAGCCCTTCACTGCCCGGGGCCACCAGAGAGGGTCTGCTGCTCCATGTGCGGGACCCGCCGAGCCCACCTACCAGGAACACGCGCTAGCCCGCGAGCGCTGCCTGCAGCCCCGGTTCCCTCAGGCACCTCTCCCTCCACACCTCCCTGCAACCAGAGGGAGTTAGCTTTGGCCTCAGCCAGCCCAGAGAGGGGCTCCCACAGTGCTGTGGCAGGCTGAAGGGCTCCTCAGGCGCCGCCAGAGTGGGCGCCAAGGCCAAGAAGGCACTTAGAGCGAGGGCTGCTAGCATGTTGTCACCTCTCAATAGTATACTTGTCTCAGGTGATCGTGGGTCATGGGCTAAAGTACCATGTTTGGCCAGGATTGGGACTCATAGTATACCTGTGTCTCAGGTGATTGTAGGAAGAGTGCTAAAACGGACGACCCCAGTTGGAACCACAATTGGTATTTAGAAGCAGATGTTCTCTAATTGCAAGGAGAGGGGAGGAAGTGCTGTTATCTGAGGACACGAATGTGGGCAGCCCCAAAACAATGCATATCCAGACAGGTCCTCTAAGAGGGAACTGCCTGGCCACAGCATTTCCATTTCCCATCTTGGAGGACTCTATGGATAAGTCCCTCAAATTGCCAACTGCTAATGTGAACTCTTCCACTCACAGGGTGACAGATGGAACAAAAGACAACATGCTAATCGGCGCATCGCCTTGGTGACAGGTCACCCAGGGATGATGAAACACACAACACAGCCTGGCTCTGGGTTCCGACTGTTCCAATCCACACATGTGTATTGCTACAGGTACAAGGGTGTGGTTTCTAGCACCTGTTTTGTTTCAAAACAGGATCATTCCCTCCACACTATTATTTTCTATTTATGAAAACAAGTTACAGGAGAAAAGGGACCTGCCCTGTCCTATATAGTTGACAGTGTGGACACACACAAAGCGAACATTTGAAAATAAAAAGTTCCTTCTATTTGTTATTGTGACATGGGTAACGTGCTGTTGTAAAAAAAATTTGGAGGCGGCACATCTCACATGTGTCCGTGAAAATTCAATCATCATGCTGGTGAACTACAGAAGGATCTGCCATTGCATTCTTCATTAGAAAAGCCATGCTTCTGTATCTCTGCTGTTACTGAGTCACCAGACATTTGTAGGTGTGCTACTTTAACAATTTCTTAAGATCGAATAAAAAACACATAGTAGAAATGTAATTTAAGAAATTCAGTGTTCCTCACTAAGAAACATTGTGAAACTATAGAAATGGTTCTCTTATCACCCATGTACATTACCTTTGTCTGCATGCTACTAAGTCTATGTACTAAGTTATGTCTCAGTCTCTGTGAGTTCATTGAGCAATTTCACATGGATGCAGAGGGTGGGATGATAGATAATGGAGACTCTGAAGGGTGAGGGGTGTGGAGGGAAGGGATGATGGGAAATTGCTTAATAAATTCAATGTTCATTTCTCTGGTGATGGATACCCCAAGTGCCTCAACTTGACCACTGCACGATCTATGATTGTAACAAAATTGCACACATATCCCATAAATTTGTACAAATAAAAAGAAATTAAAAAATGGCACTCAACACAAGTTTTATCCTGGGAGGATGATGGACCCTGGCTCCAGGAATATTTCCTCTGAGTCCTGCATTCCCCTCTTGGACCCAAAGCGAGTGGATCCCAGTCTGGAGGAGGAAGAGCTGGTGGACAACCCTGGACTTCTGTGACCAGTAGAACCCTCGACAGGGTCCCGGGAGGCCGCAGAGTTGAGGTTTCCTCTCTTTGTGCCCAGAGAGAAGCAGGTTGCTAGCATTAGAGCCTGGCCTGGACTTGTGCCTAGGGTTTGCCTTGCTTTTGGTGGCCCTGGGCCCCCAAGTTAGAATTAGAGGTCTCTGCTTGGGTGACTCTCCAGGGATGTGACTCAAAGGAGGGACAACAGTGCCTCCAAAGAGACAATTGTTCCCAGTCCCTGGGTCACCATGGAGTCCTCTGGTTAGGGGAGCCCCACCTGTTCAGGCGGAAGCTTCCCCCATAGGGTGTGTGGTGCTCAGACCTCTCTCCTTCCGGCTAAGCTGCTGACTGACACAAAGTTGGAACTCAGATCTGGGGTCACCAGTCTGCTCCCAGAGCCCATGAGTGCCGCTAAAACTGCCAACCTCAAGGAACTGGGCTTGTGCTGCCCAACGTGGAGCAGGGCTGCTCAGTGTGGGGCCGAACACTGTTCCCAATGCTGGGGGCGTAAGAAGCAGCTACAGAGCCAGAGGCAGTGGGGGAACCAGGGTGATGAAGGAGGGACAACAAAGAACATCTGGGTGCTTGCTAGTGGGGGTGACCAAGATGGAATTTGTAGATGATGAACCTCCAAAGCTGAGTGTGTTTTGGGCTGCCCTGGCAGGTGGGCCCTGGAGCAGAGGTTAGGGCTAGAGCTGGAGCTGGGCTACCAGATCTCCAAACTGGAAACAGCAGTCAGAGGTGGGGGCTGCATGCTGCTGTCCATCAAGGACTCCCAGGACGGGCTGAGTGGTGGCTGAAGGGTTACTGGGAAGTTTAATAGTTGGGGCGCAGCTGCAAGACCTCAGTGCTGGAGGCTCGTGGTGTCCCTGGTGGAGGCCTTGCTGCCACTGGGGTATGTCTGAAGGGCCTGGGCAGATGGGAAGTTTAAGGTCCCCTAAGCTGGCCGCACCATGGTCAAGCCATCGTGACATTCCCCCGCCCTTGTGATAATGTACTTTGTGATATTCCCCTTCCTTGTGAATGTGCTCTGTAACATTCCTCCCCGCCCTGTGACAATACACCCTCCCCAGCTTTGTGAATGTACTTTATAACATCCTCCCTGCCCTTGAGAATGTACATCCATCCCCTGCACACAAAAAATTGCTCCTGACTCCACCACCTATCCCAAACCTGTAAGAACCAATGATAATCTCACCACCCTTTGCTGACTCTTTTTTTGGACTCAGCTCACTTGCATCCAAGTGAATAAACAGCCCTGTTGCTCACACTAAACCTGCTCAGGTGGTCTCTTACAAGGATGCATGTAACATTTGGTGCTGAAGACCCAGGACAGAACTCCTTCGGGAGACCAGTCCCCTGTCCTCACGCTCCCTCCATGAGGAGATCCACCTACGACCTCAGGTCACCGGACCAGCCAGCCCGAAGACCATCTCACCAATTTCAAATCGGTAAGTGGTTCTTCGCACTTGGGTAAGGGTTTTTTTCGCTGTCTACCTAGCCTCTGTTGACTCCCTTCAATCTCTATCCTTTCAATTTCAGTTTCCCTTTCTGGTAGAGACAAAAAGGAGACACATTTTATCCATGCATTCAAAAACTCCGATGTCAGTCACGGACTTGGAAAGATGGTCTTCCCTTGGTGTCTGATCACCGTGGGGATGCCTGCCTTGATCATTCATCCACATTCCATTGGTGGCAGGTCAATTGCGGGGACTCCTGTTTTGGCTGCTCACCCACTTTACAGCCCAAGACAAAATTAGGGATGCCTACTGGAAGCCTGGTAGCTGTTCACCTCTGTTTCTCTGTGTCTCTACCTTCCTCTTTAAACTTACCTTCTTCACTATGGGCAACCTAACCCCATCCATTCCTCCCTCTTCCCCCTTAGCCTGTGTTCTTAAAAACCTAAAACCCCTTTGACTAACACCTGACCTAAAATCTAAACGTCCTATTTTCTTCTGTAATACCGCCTGGCCCCAATACAAACTTGACAGTAGTTCCAAGTGGCCAGAGAGTGGCACTTTTGATTTGTCTATCCTACAAGACCTAGATAATTTTTGTCAAAAATTAGGCAAATGGTCTCAGGTGCCTTACATCCAGGCATGTTTTACACTTTGCTCCCTCCCTAGTCTCTGCTCCCAATGCGACTCATTCCAGATTTTCCTTCTTTCTCTCCCGTCCGCTCCTTCGGTCTCCACCCCAAGCTCAGAGTCCTCCGAATTCTCCTTTCCACTGACCCCTCTGACCTCTTCTCCTCATCCCCGGCCACCCTTTGCCAGGCTGAATCGGGCCCCAATTCTTCTGCAGCCTCTGCTCCCCTCACCCTATAACCCTTCTATTACCTCCCTCCTCACACCAGGTCTGGCTCACAGCTTCATTCCATGACTAGCTCTCCCGTACCTGCCCAAAAATGTCCTCTTAGAGAGGTGGCTGGAGCTGAAGGCACAGTCAGGGTACATGTGCCTTTTTCTCTATCAGACCTTTCCCAGATCAGCCAGCTTTTAGGCTCTTTCTCATCCGACCTCCCACTAAATACATATGGGAATTCCAATATCTCAGTCCTACAATTTAACCTGGCGTGACTTAAATGTCATCCTGACCTCTACCATCTCCCCAGATGAACGAGAAAGAGTTTATTTTCTAGCCCAGCCCTATGCAGACAGCCGCCAGCTTCATGAGCCAGGCCTCCAAGAGGACACCAGGGCAGTTCCCCAAGAGGATCCCCATTGGCAATACCAGATGGACTCCCCAGGTATAGCTAGGCGAGATTACATGGTCTCCTGTCTAGTCGAGGGGCTCAAAAACGCAGCATACAAAGTTGTTAATTATGACAAGCTAAAAGAAACAACCCAAGGTAAAGATAAAAACCTAGCCCACTTCATGGCCCACTTAGCAGCTACCCTTAGACGCTTTACAGTCCTAGACCTAGAGAGACCAGAAGGCCACCTTATCCTTAATATTCATTTTATCACCCAATCCTCTCCTTACATTAGAAAAAAACTCCAAAAGTTGGATTCTGGCCCTCAAACCCCACAACAGGATTTAATCAACCTCACCTTCAAGGTGTTCAGTAACAGAAAAGAAGCTGCCAAGTGGCAATGTATCTCTTAGTTACAGCTACTTGCCTCCACTGTAAGACAACCCACAACCACATCTTCAGCATAGAAAACAGAACATCCAAGCCACAGCTCCCAGGGGCTCCTTCAAAACCTCCTCCTGGACCTTGCTTCAAATGTCAAAAGCCTGGCCACTGGGCCTCAGAATGCCCGCAGCCCAGGATTCCTCCTAGGCCATGCCTTGTTTGTGCGGGCCTCCACTGGAGGTCAGACTGTCCAACTCACATCGTCGCCACTCCTAAAGCTCCTGGAGCTCACATCCAATGTTCTCTGGCTGACTGCTTCCCAGATCTCGTTGGCTTAGTGGCTGAAGACTGATGCTGCTCAATCGCCTCGAAAGCCCCCTGGACCATCATGGATGCTGAGCTCTGGGTAACTCTCACAGTGGAGGGTAAATCCTTCCCCTGTTTAATCAATTCGGGGGCTACCCACTCCACGTTACCTTCTTTTCAAGGGCCTATTTCCCTTGCCCTGTAACTGTTGTGGGTATTGACGGCAAGGCTTCTAAACCTCTTAAAACTTCCCAACTCTGGTGCCAACTTGGACAACATTCTTTTATTCACTCTTTATTAGTTATCCCCAACTGCCCAATTCCCTTATCAGGCCAAGACATTTCAACTAAATCTTCTGCTTCCTTGACTATTCCTGGACTACAGCCACATCTCATTGCTGCCTTTTTGCCCGATTCAAGGCCTCCTTTGAATCCTCCTCTCATGTCTCCCTACCTTAATCCACAAGTGTGGGATACCTCTACTCCCTCCTTGGCAACCAATCAGGCACCCCGTTACCATCCCATTAAAACCTCATCACCCTTACCCTGCTCAGCATCAGTACCCCATCCCATAACAGGCTTTAAGAGGACTAAAGCTTGTTATCACTCACCTGTTACAATATGGCCTTTTAAAGCCTACAAATTCTCCTCACAATTCCCCTACCCTACCTGTCCAGAACCAGACAAATCTTACAGGTTGGTTCAGGATCTTTGCCTTATTAACCAAATTGTCTTACCTATCCATCCTGTGGTGCCAAACCATATACTCTCCTATCCTCAATACCTCCCCCTCCACAACTCATTATTCTGTCCTCGACCTCAAAGATGCTTTCTTCACTATTCCTTTGCACCCCTCATCAAGGGACTTTCACATGGACTGACCCTGACACCCACCAATCTCAGCAACTCACCTGGACTGTACTGCCGCAAGGCTTCAGAGACAGCCCCCGTTACTTTAGTCAAGCTTTCTCATGATCTACTTTCTTTCCATCCATCTGTTTCTCACTTTATTCAATATATGGACGACCTTCTCCTCTGCCGCCCCTCTTATGAATCTTCCCAACAGGACACCCTCCTGCTCCTTCAACATCTATTCTCAAAGGGGTATCACGTATCCCCCTCTAAAGCCCAAATTTCTTCCCCGTTACCTGTCTCGGCATAGTCCTTCAGCAAAACACACATGCTCTCCCTGCTAAATCGTGTCCAGCTAATCTCTGAAATCCCAACCCCTTCTACAAAGCAACAACTCCTTTCCTTCCTTGGTGTGGTTGGATACTTTCGCCTTTGGATAGCAGGTTTTGCGGTCCTAACTAAACCACTATATAAACTCACAAAGGGAAACCTGACTGATCCCATAGACCTTAAGTCCTTTCTTCTTTTTGTTCCTTAAAGACATCCCTAGAAACAGCTCCCACATTAGCACTGCCTAACTTGTCCCAATCTGTCTTCTTACATAGGCTGAAATACAAAGTTATGCAGTCAAGAGTTCTTACACAGGAACCAGACCCACAACCTGTAGCCTTCCTACCCAAACAACTTAACCTCACAGTTCTAGGCTGGCCCTCATGTCTACGTGTGGTGGCAGCCACCACTTCGATACTTCTAGAGGCCCTCGAGATCACAAACCATGCCCCACTTACCCTCTACAGCTCTCATAACTTTCAAAATCTATTTGCTTCCTTATACTTGGCACATATATTTTCTGCCCCCACTGACTCCTCCAACTATACTCACTATTGGTTGAAACTCTCACAATTACCATTGCTCCTGGCACAGACTTCAACCTGGTCTCTCACCTTACACCTAGCACCAAACCTGAACCTCATAACTGTATCTCTCTAATCTATATGGCATCCTCCCCATTTCCCCATATTTCCCTCTTTCCTGTTCCTAATCGCTGGGAACAAGCCCCCCAAATCTGGCCATAAACAGGCCATGAGAAACTGGCCATAAACAAAATCTCTGCATCACTGTGACATGCTCGTGATGGCCATGACGCCCACGCTGGAGGCTGTTGGTTTACCGGAATGAGGGCAAGGAACACCTGGCACACCCAGGTTGGAAAACCGCTTAAGGCGTTACTAAACCACGGACAATAGCATGAGCAGTGTGTGCCTTAAGAACATGCTCCTGCTGCAGATAACAAACCAGAGCATGTCCCTTTGTTTCCCATAAGGAATGCTTTTAGCTAACCTATAATCTACAGAAATAATCCTTATCACTGGCTTGCTGTCAACAAATATGTGGGTCAAATTCTGTTCATGGCTCTCAGCTCTGAAGGCTATCAGCCCTCCTGATTCCCACTCTGCATTCTATTTATGTGTCTTTGTCTTAATTCCTCTAGTGCCTCTGGGTTAGGTTCTCCACAACCAAGCTGGTCTCGGCACCTAATCCAGACCACACTTGGTTTATTGATGGTAGTTCTTCAAGGCCCAGTCGTCAGCCACCAGCAAGGGTAGGCTATGCTGTAGTGTCTTCCACATCTTGTCATTGAAGCTACTTCCCTGCCCTCTTCCACCACCTTTCATGACTCTCAACAAGTTGAACTCATTGCTTTAACCTGGGCTCTCACACTTGCAAAGGGACTACGTGTCAATATCTACACTAATTCCAAGTATGTCTTCCACATCCTACATCACCATGCTGTTATATGAGCAGAAAGAGGTTTTCTCGCTACACAAGGGTCCTCCCCATCATCAACACTTCTTTAATAAAAATCCTCCTTAAGGCTGCTCTATTGCCCAAGGAAGCCAGAGTCATTCACTGCAAGGGGCATCAGAGGTCACCAGATCCCACTGCTCAAAGCAACACTTATGCTGATAATGCAGCAAAAGCAGCAGCTAGTATTCCCACATCTGTCCCTCACAGTCAGTTTTTTTCCTTCGTGTCTATCACTCCCACCTATTCTCCCACTGAAACTATTACCTATCAATCCCTTCCTACTCAAGGCAAATGGTTCTTGGATCAAGGAAAATTCCTCCTTCCTGCCTCACAGGCTCATTCTATCTTAAGGTCCTTTCATAACCTCTTTCATGTGGGTTACAAGCCAATGGCCCATCTCTTAGAACCTCTCATTTCTTTTCCATCATGGAAATCCATCCTCAAGGAAATTACTTCTCAGTGCTCCATCTGCTACTCTACCACCCCTCAGGGATATCTCAGGCACCCTCCCTTTCCTACACGTCAAGCTTGAGGATTTGCCCCCACCCAAGACTGGCAGAGTGACTTTACTCATATGCCCCACATCAAAAAACTAAGATACCTTTTGGTCTGGGTACATTCACTGGATGGGTAGAGGTCTCTCCCAGAGGGTCTGAGGAGGCCACTGCCTTCTCATTCTTCCCTTCTGTTAGATATAATTCCTCGGTTTAGCCTTCCCACCTCTACACAGTTCGATAATGGACCAGCCTTCATTAGATCACTCAAGCAGTCTCCCAGGCCCTCGGCATCCAGTGGAAACTTCATGCCCCCTACCGTCCTTAGTCTCTGAGAAAGGTAGAAAGAACTAATGGTCTTTTAAAAACACAAATCGCCAAGCTCAGCCTCCAACTTAAAAAAGACTGGATAGTATCTTTACCATCTGCCCTCCTTGGAATTAGAGCCTGTCCTCGAGAAGCTACAGGGTATAGTTGATTTGAACTTTTATATGGACATACCTTCTTGTCGGGCCCCAACCTCATGCCAGACACCAGCCCTCTAAGCAACTATCCTCCAGTCCTCCAGCACGCTAGACAGGAAATTCGCCAGGCTGCTAATCTTCTCTTGCCTACTCCAGATTCCCAGCCACATGAAGACACTCTAGCTAGACTATCAGTTCTTGTTAAGAGTCTTGACCCCTCAAACTCTACAACCTCGATGGACCAGACCCTACTTAGTCATCTATAGTACCCCAACTGCCATCCACCTGCAGGATCCTCCCCATTGGGTTCACCATTCCAGAATAAACCTGTGTCTGTCAGACAGCCAGTCTGATCTCTCATCTTCCTCCTGGAAGTTGCAAGTACCCTCCCCTACACTTCCCTTAAACTCACTTGCATTTCTGAACAACAATAATAATCCTTATGAGCCTAATACATCCCTTTATTCTATTAGGTCTATTCGTCCTTACCCTACTTTTTGCAACAGGGCTTTATGTAGTCACCCCCACTACTTGGACTGTGCCTCAAAAACTTGTCATCCGTACTATCTTCTGTCTGGTCATACTCCTCTTCACCATTCTCAACTAGTAAATGCCCTGCCCTTGTTTACATTGGAGGTTTACACTTTTCCTCCAAACCATCATAACTGATATCTCCTGGTTTTATCTCAAACCTCCACCCTTAACTCTCTCTTGGAGGGGATAAAAGATCTTCAGTGGCAAGGTACACTCCAATTCTTCTATCCTGATGAAGTCCTTTTTTTTTTTTTTCTACTCACTTTTATACTTGCCACCATTCTCCAGTCACTCGCTACCTCTCCCTACTTACCTCCAGCATCCTATCAATCTCACCCACTCTCTCCTCACTGCCTCCAATCCTTCTCTAGCAAAGAATTGTTGGCTATGCGTTTCCCTTTCTTCCTGCTCTTCCACAGCCGTCCCTGCTTTACAGGCCGACTGGGCTACCTCTCCTGTCTCCCTGTCTCCGAATATCCTTTAATAGCCCTCATCTTTACCCGCCTGAAAAACTTCTTTACTTTCTAGACAATTCTTTGCTAGAGAAGGATTGGAGGCAGTAAGGAGAGAGTGGGTGAGATTGATAGGATGCTGGAGGTAAGTAGGGAGAGGTAGAGAATGACTGGAGAATGGTGGCAAGTATAAAAGTGAGTAGAAAAAAAAAAAAAGGACTTCATCAGGATAGAAGAATTGGAGTGTACCCTGCCACCGAAGATCTTTTATTCCCTCCAAGAGAGAGTTGGTGAGAACTCCACAGACACTTTGCACTAACAAGCTGCCACACTTCTCCGCATCTACTTAACGGCACCTTTCTGCTTATGTCAATTCCACTCCCCACTCCATATTTGGACCCTTAATCACACAAACTATCCGTGTTGCTGTTCCTTTATGCATCTCCCAACAACAGCCTACAGGAATCCCTTCCACCGTCAAAACGTTCCTTTACGCTTCATCTCCAGAACTCAGCCACACACATTACCAACTTAGACGGAAACATTCCAACTTCGCATTACTGATAAGCCCACTATCATTATTGACAAACTAAAAAACATTAGCAGTCACTATTGTTTAGGAAGACACCTACCCTGCATCTCATTCCATCCTTGGCTACCCTCCCCCTGCTCGTCTGACTCTCCTCCTGGCCCCTCCTCTTGCTTGCTTATACCCAGCCCCATGAAGAGCTGTGAAAGGTTACATAGACACCATGCGCTTTCTCATACACCGTGAGAACCAAACCTCTACCTGTACGCAGTTGCATCATCAATCCCCATTACAACTTCTAATGGCTGCTGCCCTTGCTGGATCTCTAGGATTTGGGGTGCAGGACTCCTCTTTCAGTACACCCTCTCACCTTTTCACTTTACATTTCCAGTTCTGCCTGACACAAGGTCTCTTCTTTTTATGTGGCTCCACCACCTACCTGCCAACAGAACAGGCACATGTACTCTAGTCTTCCTTACCCCAAAATCCAGCTTGCAGATCGGAATGAACAACTGCCTGTCTCCCTCATGACACCAACACGGTAAAAAGAGTCATCCCACTAATCGCTTTACTTGTGGGTGTGTAGGACTTTCTGCCTCCACTATTGTACTTGGAATAGCAGGCACCTCAACCTCTGTCACAATATTCTGCAGCCTCTCTAATGACTTCTCTGCTAGCATTACAGATACATCACAAACTGTATCTGTCCTCCAAGCCCAGGTTGACTCTTTAGCTACAGTTGTCTTCCAGAACCACCGAGGCCTTGATTTACTCAGTGCTGAAAAAGGAGAACTCTGTATATTTCTTAATGAAGAGTGTTGTTTTCACTGAAATCAATCTGGCCTGGTACATACTAACATCAAAAAACTCAAAGACAGAGCTCAAAACTCGCTAATTGAGCAACTAATTATTGTGGACCCACCTGGCCACTCTAACTTGGTATCCTGGCTTCTTCCAATCGTTAGTCCTCTAATACCTATCTTTCTCCTTCTCTTATTCAGGCCTTGTGTCTTGCCATTAATCTCTCAATTCCTACAAAACCACCTCTAGGCTATCACTAATCACTCTATATGAGAAATGCTGCTTTTAACAACCCCACAATATCACCCCTTACCCCAAAATCTTACTTCAGTCTAATCTCTCCCACTTTAGGTTCCCATGCCACCCTTAATCCCGCTCATATCAGCCCTGAGACATGTTGCCCATCACCCCTCCATTCGGCCCCCAAAATTTTCACCCCAAGTTTTCATGACTTTTTCATTTTATTTCTTCATGATTAACATAAAAAGACAGGAATGCAAGGTCTTCTGAGCTAGCTGCACCATGGTCAAGCCATCGTGACACTCCCACACCCTTGTGATAATGTACTTTGCGATATTTCCCATCTTTGCAAATGTACTTTGTAACATACCTCCCTGCTCTTGAGACAATACACCCTCCTCGCCCTTGTGAATGTACTTTGTAACATCCTCTCCACCTTTGAGAATGTACATCCATCCCCTGCCCACACACAAAAAATTGCTCCTGACTCCACCACCTATCCCAAACCTGTAAGAACCAATGATAATCTCACCACCCTTTGCTGACCCAGACTCAGCCCACTTGCACCCAAGTGAATAAACAACCTTGTTGCTCACACTAAGTCTGTTCAAGTGGTCTCTTATACAGATGCATGTAACAGGAAGCAGCTCACACGAGGGCCAACATAAGGCCTTGCAAGGAAAGGGTGGGAAGGGGAAGCGGTGTCCATGGGGGTGACCTCAAAGTCAGGGGCTGGCAGTCAATGTATATTGCTCAGTGAGATAAGTCAGTCTGAAAAAGCTGCCTTCTCCACGACTCTTAGTGCATAATATTCTGAGAAAGAAAACTAGAGAGACAGTAAATAGGACAGTTTTCTCTTAAAAATGGGACACTGATCCAACCAGAATCATGATAACTGAATGAACTCCACTGACTTTCCACAGTACTTTCCATTGATTGCTTATCTGGATGAACTCGGTTGTGTGGCCAGTTGTGGACTTTTCTGACCCACTGCGTTGGTCCAGCAATAGAATAGACTGTGCTGACGTTTCAGGTACTACTCTCTGATCTTGGATGGAACATTGCTTCCAAATGTATTACAGGAGAGACAACTATTGATATCTTGCTGCCAGAATTCCATAGAGAAATTCTTAGTAATTTAGTTAGAGTTCAAACTTTGGAGTCCCTGTTGAAGCAACTCCACAGGAAACCACCTGAATCTGAGCTGGGCTCTAGGAAGAGCTTGCAGTTTGGGTTGCGCTGAAAACCCAGCAGACTGATATCTGGGAAAATACCTGCCTTTATATGAGGCAATAGAGACTACGTATCCCAGTGAGCAAGAGCACAGCGCCTGGAACCTCACTGGCTGGGTTCAAATCCCACTGAGGAGCTCTACGTACCTGGCCATGTTGTATAGACCTCTCTATGCCTCAGTGCCTGGTTTTCAGAGGTTCAAAAGTTAATATGGTCTCTGTTATGCTTTAAGGCTAAACATGATTGAATTCAGGTAAAGTCTTAAATAGACTAGTTCCTTCTAAGTGCACTAGTATCC